TCATATCACAACTCGTGTGCCATGCTCGTGCTTGAAAAGAGACGGAGAGACCACATGGCGCTAAAACACGCCTAGAGCGCACGTGAGGCATAGCGGGACTGGGTCGAGTCGCTATTTTCAGCACGTACATTCTAAAATTGGAGGTAATGAGTAGTTTTACACCTAACAAAACTTGTGACGAATGACTTGAAATGATAAATCAAGTTTATCAAAAACCTTTCTCAACCCCTGATCATGGTATAAACTCCCCAAAGGAATCGATGTATTCATCTTTCTCTGAGTGAATGTCTGAGTAAAAAAAAAACATTAGCAAGCAGGTTTCATGTAGACTTTATTTAAGAAGTGACTTTCTTACAGTACAATGAAGCTTCCATTTTTGAGATGTAAGCTGTTACATCATTTTGTTTCTTGCTGTCCTTTGGATCTTTTGTAGCTCGCTTAGTGACGACATTTAACATGATCCGGCCAGGAATATGACCGGTCCTACTAACTCAAGGACTCATCGCACGAAAGTCCTCCTGATCCCCAGGCAGGCCCGTTTCAAACATATGTCGACTTCAGCAAGCGTTACTCTTGCACGACGTGGTTTCAGATGTCGCAAATTAAAGTACAGGCAAAGTAAATAGCTGTTGCAGAAAACAAAACATTCAGAAAATAAAAATGAAACAAGAAAGTTTGGTGAACTTTTTAATGTAAAAAATTATGTGATCCCGGCAGTTAAAAAAGAAAAGGGGTAACTTATTATCTTCATACGCAGTTCTCAAATATGATTTAGTTCTAAGTAACTTGTATTGTAATATAAATATAATTTATGAAATAAGTTTAATGCGGCAATAACACACGACCCCAACTCGTGCCCCGGAAGCTCGACAGGGCTTGCCGCGCGTGCTTCAAGGCAATAGCATGACTTGGTCTCACACGTCGTGTTACTGCCGTGACAAAGTTCTTGCAGGAAATCTTATTTAACTCTGTGTTTTAACCGTCATTCGATCAGTTGAGTCCAACATCACGGTAGAACTGACAACGTTTGAGACGATTCTTAGCCATGCCGATAAAGAGTAAAACAGTCCACTTTGTTCGCCACTTCCAATCTACCTGGAACGAAGCAGAAGAAGGACAAAACTTGACGCGCTTCGACAAAGGACTACAGAGCGATGCTCTCTTGGATGCGCCCCTAAGCACTTATGGCAAAAAACAGGCGTTGACGATACAACAGAAAATACAGGATCTGAATGCCGAAGTCGCCATCACTTCCCCTTTGAGTAGAGCAATCGAGACCTGTTTGCTGACCTATGGAAATCAAAAAGTGGTTGCTTCGCATCTTTGCCGCGAGATAGGAGAATCGCTCTGTGATATTGGAACTCTGAAAGAAGACCTGGTCAAGAAGTATCCAACAGTCGATTTCAGCAGTGTGCCTTCCAAAGTTTGGTGGTATGTGGATGAAAAGCTGAAGGGTCAACTAACAGATCCAAAAAAATGCTACGAATTTGTCTTAAACAACGGAACTTGCAAGTTGGGAGAAACGTACGATGGAAGTCATTTTCAGGAAAGAATCGAGGGATTTCACGATTTCCTTCAAAACCGACCTGAATCAAATATTGTTGTTTTCGCACACAGTGGTTTTCTGAGAAGCTTTCTTGAAAAATATTATGGGAGACCATTTGAGCAGTACTATCCAAACGGACAGATTTTGACTTACCATTTGTAACGACGATGTAACTTAATTTAAGCTAAAAGATTTTTCCAATCGATTTTTTTTCGGGGTTTTTTCATGTCTTCTTTTTCACAGCGGTAATTAGGGATTAAGCAGTAACAGATACGAGCTTTTCCGTTGGTTTTGACTGCCCTATTTGTTTTTCATCTTGTTTATTGAAGAATCAATAAGCGGAAAACACCAAAATTTCACTTGAGCTAAGCTTATTTTTATTTTCTCGATTGATGATTACGATGTATTATCACATTAAGTTTGGACTTATGTCTGGCCGGTTTTTAGCACTTTTTTCTTCGTGTGCCATGAACATGCTTGAATCAACGGAAATACCACAGGGCGTTGAAACACGCCCTGGGCTCACGTGAGGCATAGTGAGGCTCTCTCTATAGGTGCTGAAAGCTAAATTAGCTAGGATAAAACAGGCAATACACGATTTCTAAACATTTTTGACTGTGATTATGTTTTACAGAATATTTTCTTATTTGTATAAAATGACTATGGGTTTCACACCTAACTTAAAATAATCGAGCTGGTTCAAAACTCCTTCACGATGAAATGGCAGGAAAGAAAACCTTTCATAAAGCAGATAGAGAACATGCTCTTTGAATTGTATATAGTTTTTAAACTGTTTTGACTTTTTTTCTTATTTAAATGCTTGTACATGTAGGAAGCTCATTTCTATTGAAGTTTCTAAGTTGCCTTCATTCAATAATATTTGGCTTTATTAGGGTTAGTCTTTATTTCAACAGTTAATTATTTTGTCTGGCTTTTTAAATATAATAAAAGCGAACTTAATCCTGTAAAAGTTCAGTGTCATATTGTACAGTCCACTGGATCCCCCATTCACTATTCTCAGAAGCCTCCACCGATGATTAAACTACAGACTCGTTGAGCTATCCCATGATCTGTCAAAGCAATTTTGCATAGGCGGGCGCGAAACATTTCCTATGTACTAAATGACATCTGTCCCAAGGTAAGTTCACTACGCAAGCGCAACTCGTTACTGATTCTGTCAAGTCTGACTTGCTTGTCGTGTTTATATCATTTTAGTTTCGTCTTTCTATATTTATTTGTTTCTAATGACACTTCAATTAACAACGCCCCCCCCCCCCCCCCCCCCCCTTAATTATTACCAAAACAAAACCAAAAGCAAACCCCCTTCAACCCCCCCCCCACAACACCCAGCTCGCGCAGACCGCGACGGTGATGAGAAAAATAAGGGAACGAAGATAGCAACTCAATGGTCCCTCACGCCGTTCCGCCATAGTATGAATCTTTTGTACGGCGCGGTTTGTGTTTCCTGTTGTATCTTTTTTCATGGCTCCTCTCCTCTCTGTGGTCGGTCCGGGTAGAAGAGCCATCAAAGACCGCCCTTCCCCCCCCACTTCTTGAAGTCTTCTAGAAAACAAGTACAGTCGAACCTCCAGCGGCCACACCTCAATCAAGCGGCCAGTAATTGAAGTCCCGATATTATTGTAGATAAGAATGAGAAATAACACGGCCAGCTTTTGGCCGTCCCAATGAGAGTTCTCCCATTGTTTTCACCTCTATTAAGCGGCCATAAAGCGTTTGATACACCTAGTTTGCTTCATTTCAAGAACATGATGAAAAGAAAAACAGTCCGAGATAGAAGGTGACGACTGATCCAGTAACTTCCGGTCACGCGATTGTTTTTAAATAAAGTGATATTTCTGCTAAAGATAATACTCATTTCTGACAAACCTCTATTGAGAGGCCAACCTCCAGTAAGCGATAGCCTGCGAGCAAGCTCTCCTAGGGATCCCGAGTGTAGGGTGTGGCCTTGCTAACAGAACTTGCTCGCAGGCTAAGTAAGCGGTCACTTGCGGGCCGGGTACCCCAGGGTCGGGTATCCCAGGGCTGGCCGCTTGATGGAGGTTCAACTGAAATTTGCAGATAGCAGAGCAAACATGAAAATTGCAACCCGCGAGGAAGGTGAAAAGTATGGGGAAGTCACCTTCCTCGAGGGTGGTCCACTTGCGAATTTTGCTCGCTCTACCATTCCTGAGGAAAAATAAAGGGCTGGTAGTCTACCTGTCTACATTAGTGAGCTTAAGCAACGACGACGGCAGTGAGAACGTCGCTTAAAAAGTGAATTTGCGTTCTTTCAACCTTTATCGCGTCCATTTGGACCCACTTAATATGTCAAATGCAGGCGACTTTTCCTGGAGTTGAATTCTTAAGGACTTTATCCAGGTTCAAAAAGCGAAAAGGGAATTCGTCGTCGTAAGTCTACGTCCTCCATAAAACAACGCATTGGGAGGTTTCACGTCGTAGTCGTGCAGTGGACGTCAAAGAAATGTACTGAAAAGCGTGATAAACTTGCAGAGCTATTGTTTTGCTCATAAAACCAATTGTTTTTTGAAGTTGTCGTCGAGGTAGTCTGCTACACAGCCGTTCTTAGTATCGTCACGCAACGCTCCTCCCCACAGAGGATCGTTGCGTGACGACACCAAAAACGGCTGTGTAGCAGATTATCGTCGAGGTCGTCGTCTTTGTAGTTGCTTAAGCTCTCTATTGTGAAAAAGTTGCCTTACAAATAGTCTCCTTGGCTGCCGTTCGGGCCGGAGTCACGCGTGTGGACGTGGAGCACCTGAGCGGCTGAGAAGGTGACTACGTGACACAGGACACAGTTAAATATCCAGTGTAGCTACGGTATACCATGATTATACAAATGATTATGAGCTGAAAGAGCGAATCCCTGTGCCCCATGAAAATCTTTTAGTTCGCTCGAGTGCTGCGAAGGTTATTTTTGTCCGTTTAATCGCGCCACCTTCTTTCATGTGAACGTGGCATGAAGGTTAACTACCATTACAGCAAAGTTCATAAGTTACTGACACTTAATCCGCGCGTTCCGTTCATTGTTTAGTTCATTCTCTCTTGGATAACACGATCAGCTTTATCCTGTAACACCCAGAGTGGAGCAATGGAGATGCAAAAGCGATTCCAAATGTGTACACGGATCAGAATTCCATCTGTTTCTTTTGTTAGCGCTGCAGTGGAATCAAGAGGACAACAGGTACTAAGTCAGTTTAAGGGTTGCTACAGAGGCTGTAAGAATTCCAGTTAATTCCGAAATATTGTTGATTTACTGAATTGAATATTACGGAAATCATTAAAAGCCAAGGGATCAATATGCACCTTGTTCCCCTCCTGCAATGGTCCGTAGCCCAATTACACGAGAAAGATATTGAATAATTAGCCGCCGGAAGCCTGAAAACAACCGTGTATAATTTCATCCGAGCTGGCCCAGGCCCACACTCGGCCCAGGCCTGGATCGCCGGTGCCAGAAGGAAAGCTTTTGTGGATACGGCAGTTCCCAACACGTCATTCCCAGATTGTAGATTATTGCTATGTCACAAGGTAAAACAGTCCATTTTGTTCGTCACTGCCAAACTACATGGAATGACGCCGTGCACAATCGAAACTTGACTCGCTGTGATGAGGAATTGAAATCAGAGGCCTACGTGGATGTTCCTTTGACCGCCTTCGGCGAAGAACAGGCCATGATGATAAAACAGAAAATACTCGATTTGAATGCTGAAGTCGCCATCACTTCCCCTTTGAAGAGAACAATCGAGACCTGTATTCGAACCTATGGAGATCGAAATGTCGTGGCCACACATCACTGCGCAGAAATAGGAGACTCGATTTGCGACATCGGAACTATGAAAGAAGACCTGGTCAAGACTTATCCGTCGATCGATTTCAGTTTTGTGCCTTCAACTGTCTGGTGGTATGTGAATGAAAAGATGAAAGATCGGCTAACAAATCCAAGAAAATGCTTCGAATGGGTCTTACAGAATGAAGATTGCGCGTTGGGAGAAACCCATTGCCATTTGCATCGAAGAATTGAGCGATTTCATGAGTTTCTACAAAACCGGAATGAATCGAATATTGTGGTGTTTTCTCACTCTGTGTTTCTCAAGCAATTTCTCTTTAAATATTTCGGAAGACCATCTTCGCAAGTAATCAAAAATGGAGAAATTATTTCTTACTGTCTATAATGAAGAATGTAATGAATATTCTTCAAACTGTTTTACATACATCTCTCCTTGTGGTATTTATATTGAGGAGAATTTCTTCAACAATCACGGGATTTGATCTGTGGTAATTTTCTCTTTTTCTTATGCCCTTTATGTTTAATTATGAAAGGAATGGTTTTTATAAGTACATAAGAAATATTTATACGTGTTTTTTAAGGGTTAGAGTCAAACTAACAAACCTGTGAACACTAGGCCCTGGGTGAGGAAGGGGGTACCCCTCATATGGATTTTCCACTGTTTTGGCGTGAAAATGGCTATAGATTTTCGCCTTTTAGGTCTGGAATTGGGTATGGTGTTTGAGGAAACTATTTGAGAATATCAGTATATTAATTTTTGTTGTTGCAATTCCAAATGAATCAGAAAGAAAGAATAACATGTGATTTTCGAAATGGATTGTAAGAAATCATTTTGTTTGAGCTCTAGTCTAAAAATGATGACTTAATTTAAACTTACTACCGGTTCAAAACCTGGATAGCTCTATCCACTGAATAAATCACTATCGAGTGGATGAGTATTTGGGAACCTAATGCGTTATTCACTGGATAGAGATTTCTCTATCGGATAGCGCTATCCATGGAATGTTGTTGTATTACTAGGAAAAGCCAATCAGGGATGAGGAAACTAAACTGCTTGCAACAGCGTTAATACAGTATGTTTGTGGTTTTGTGGCTATATTAGCATGCATGTGCTAATGCTATCATTTGTTAGTGAAGAAAAATTGAGGCGGAGAGGGGGGGAATTAACTTTCCTTCCCTGCGAAGGAAGAGCTTATTTGAGGTGGGGGGGGGGGCGGGGGCTAATCAAGGATTTGTGGTGGTTAACAAAGGGTAGTTAAACAGTTTGCTAAGCAGAAGTGAATCTATGGCAGATGGAGTTGTTGGAGTGGTTAGGATTGTGTGTTTCGGTAGATGATGATTTTACGGTGGTGATGGGACCATCTTCTGTGGCATGATGGATGAGGGGGGTAGGTGAGGCTTTAGTTGGACGTTTGTGAATGGGGTGGGTTCTAAGGATGCGGGGGGGGGGGGGGGGGCTAATAGAGGATTTATGGTGGTTAACAAAGGGTAGTTCAACAGTTTGCTATGTCTTGTAAGTAAATATATCAAAAGTACGTTTTGGTTAAGTGGGTGACCCATCTACCCGGGATAACTTTTCTCCACAGAAATGGGACTTAAGAAGGGTCTGAACAGAACCTACTGGAATCTTAAATTTGGGTTCATCACTCCATGTATTTTATCATTTTGAGGTACCTAAATCACTTTCTTTTCTTATGGAGGGCTTATCTCAACTTTCTTGAAATTTTGGTATTTGGTATTTAGACACAATTTTTTGTACACTTTTTCATATATGAATGTATACGACAACAACAACAAAACAACAACAAATGTTATTGAAATTCAACATTATTACTAATTAAATAATTTTCCCATCCGTAAATCACCGAGGAACTAATCGAGGCTGCTGTCATTAATACACTGTATCTGGGTTTTTCTTATCTCTCAGAAACATGATGATTCGTTTTTGAACATACCTTAAACTTCCGATTACAGTCAACTCCCTTTATAGAAGAAAATGTTGGGACCTCAAGTTAGTGTCGTCATTGGCGAGAGCCCTTAATAGCGGGAGTTTATTTCAGTCAAGTGTCTGTAATATGTTTTGCCTAGAATTTAGCTGCTGTCTGTAATATTGAAGTGTCCGTTTTAGCGAGGTGTCCGCAAGGCAAGAGTTGACTGTATAAGCCTCCCCATTTATAAGGCCCCACTCCCATTTCCAATAACGTCTGAGCTACACCCAGATTGGTCAGTCCCTAAGGCCAAGCCCTGGTTACGAGGTTGTCCTTTAGGGATTTAATTCTGTTTTAAAATTTGTCGCAGAGAATACCCCTGGGAGACATGCAAAGGAGCTCTTCAATGGGAATACCGAAACATCGAGTTTGGACTTTAACTCGAATCCAAACTCGAACATGCCCTTCTGAGGGGGACATGGGGGTTTACGTTCTTGCGGTATTGAGCTTTTTTGATTGGAGGAATTGAGGCCGGGGGTAATTTTCCAGCGGAACGTTTGGCCTCAAGCGACGGACACTCCGGAAATCACTGTTCGGCCTTGTCTTTCTCTTAACAGTGGAACACCAAAATAGCGCTAACTCGCTGAAAACTCTTCAAAACGGCCTGAGATGCGGGCAAACAACAAAGAATACAAGAAGGCAATAAGGTAAGTCCATTTTATTTGAAAACATAACATTTTTTCTCTCTTTTAAGAAAAGCCGTTAAAATCCCATACAAACCTTTGTGAATAACCGTTTGTAACACAACACCGCTCGCAAGCAACAGTCACGTCTGCGTCCATGTAGTGAGCTTGGGTGGCCTGTGCTCGCAACTGCTGCGGTTGATTGCTAGTGCATACATGCTTCAGGTAAACAAACCGGTCGAGATGAATACAACTTAAAGTACGCGTGACCGATCATAAATGCGGTATCGGTATTTCGTTGATTTTCGACACGGTATTTCAGTATTTGCCAATTTTTCCTACGGTATTGCGGTATTGGGTACCCCCCAATGTTCTCCTCCCAACTCCCCTCTTTAATTTGTTCCGCCAGTCTTGAATATGATATTTCAAAATACTCTAGAAAGTTGGACTATTTTTATATATCAATTTTTTGCTATCTTATGAATAGATATAACTTTGTTAACAAAAGATGTATTCCCCAGAGAACTAGCATGTTATGCGATAATTGGGCAACAAAGGAACAGCAGAACAAAAGGTTAACCAGTTTGCGAATATTTAAAGAGGCCACCGGGCTAGGAACGTTTTCATAAACCTTAGTCAGAAGCTATCTTTTCACTACCACGCAATATATACCACCGATGAATAAAACAATTCATTTCGTTCGACACGGACAATCTATATGGAACGAAGCGGAAGAAATCTTCAAATTTACGCGATTTGATAAGGAGATGCAGAAGCTTGATAAGATGGATGCACCTCTTAGCAGCTTTGGCGAACAACAGGCTGCTCAACTACAAGAGAAAATACAGGCTTTGAATGCTGAGATTGCTATCACTTCACCCTTGAGTAGAGCAATCGAGACCTGTATTCGGAGTTATGGAGTTGAAAATGTGGTGGCCTCACACTTGTGTGCTGAGTTGGGAGACACAATTTGTGACATCGGCAAGATGAAAGAAACCGTCGAGAAGAAGTATCCATCGATTGATTTTAGTTGTTTGCCTTCAACTGTTTGGTGGTATGTGGATCAAAAACTAAAGGATCAACTGACAGATCCAAGAAAATGCTACGAGTGGGTTTTACAGAATGGAAATTGCGGGTTGGGAGAAACCGACTGCCATTTTCATCGAAGAATTGAAGAATTTCATGAGTTTCTTCAAAGCCGGTGTGAATCGAACATAATAGTGTTTACACATGGTGCTTTTATGAGGGGCTTCTTTCATAAGTACTGTAATCGACCATTTCAACAAATTGTCCGAAACGTAGAGATAATCACTTATACCTTGTAAAATGAGATTTTTCCTGCGATTTAATTCTGAGTCGTGTCATGTTTATGGGTTGCTACAGAGGCTGTAAGAATTCCAGTTAATTCCGAAACATTGTTGAGTACTGAGTTCAATATTACGGAAATCATTAAAAACCAAGGTATCATTGTCACGCAAAATAAATTGGAAACCGTCCAGTGGAAGAAGCCATGAAAATGAAAATGTTATAAAAGACCAATATATAAACAATTTGTCCAAGTCTCAAGTATTTGTGGCCCTCGGTTTCTGAATTATTTGCAGAAACGCTTCACGCACCGACTCACGCACCTTTGTGAATAAATAATGAGATTTCCCATTGTGTAAAATTTATTCCAATCTGGTTCTTGAATACCTGTGACATGGCTCCCTAGGCCTTCATGCCGTAAGAGATGGCTTAGCCATTGTTTTCCGGGTATACCGTTAGTAGTACAAGCATGATTTTTTGCAGAATTTTTTTCAGGTTGTGCTGGGAAAGATTGTAGTGGTCTTACAAGCAGAGGGAAGGTTGTACGATTACAGGTGACTGTTGGATGGAAGAGTCAGGCGAAAGGGTACCCACTCCTTTTAGGTTATCCATCTTCATTCAACACGCCTTGCAATCATTTGTTTGTTTGTTTGTATCATCATCTCTTCTTACTCTATCCAGACAAATATTACAAAAAATACACCTTTCAAATTTTGACTCAAAATCATGGGTTAATTCCTTTTGAAAAAACCAAAGGGTTTCTTCGGCCTTTTTAGCAGTCTTAAACATCGTCAATCATCTTTTCTTACTCAATTTAAAAAAAAGAAAATAAACGACAGTTTTCCAATTTTGACTCAAAATCATGGGTTAACCCCTTTGGAAAACCACGCCCAAAATGAACTCTTTATAAGGAGTCTGTTAGTCCTTTTAGCAGTATTAACCATCTTCAAACATCTTTTGTTACTCTAATCATGGGTGGGAAAAATCCAATATGACCACCCCAAAATCAAACTCTTTATAAAGGGTCATTTCAGCCTTTTTAGCAGTCCTGACCATAGTCAATCATCTTTTCTTACTCTATTAAAAAAAAGTAAAATCAAAAAAACAGTTTTCACATTTTCACTCAAAATCATGGGTTAACCCCTTTGGAAAATCCACGAATATCGCCAACCCAAAATCGGACTCTTTATAGGAGGTCTTTTCGACCTTTTAAACAGTCTTGAACATCGTCAATCATCTTTTCTTACCTTATCAAAAAAATATGATAAAAAAATTGAAATTTTCACTCAAAATCATGGGTTAATCCCTTTGGAAAAACCCAATATGCCCACCCCAAAATGGAACTCGAACGAAGCTGTCAGTTTTCAATAATGACAAACCACACAAGAGAGAAAAACACAGAACAACTAGACTATGTACTCTTTGACAGAAAGACCAAGAAAACACCAAGCATCCTGAGCAGATAACAATATCATTTATTCACATACTTTTCCCCTTGTCATAAAGGAAGACTCTTTTTCATGGAATGAGTGAATCAATCAGTGGTGATCACGTGACATCTGCTATCAGCCACACCTCCCCCCTGTCAAAATTATTCTCTGACATCATTATTAATTTCACAAAAATAAAGTCAGATCTGCTGTGGGGGGAAATGGGATATCTTAACATGATTATAATGAACGTGAATGCAATGTGATTGATTCTATTTACAAATATGGAGCAACAGTCGTCTCGAAGATAATAGATACATCCAATGATAAATCACCAGTTTTCATATAATGGCCTAGTACACTATATACACGTTTCATAGAATCACTCTGCACTCTGGGATTAAATTCAAAAGCTTAAAAATGCAACAAAAAGCACTTCTTTTACAGAAGTATATGATATTTAAACACCTATCTATGCAACTCATAACATTCACTTTAGAATACAATATTCAAGATAAAATACTTAATCACACTTTGGTATGCAGTTGGTGTATGTTCTAGTTCTGAGTGAGTCACACTATAATTTATAATCTGAAGTGGTCTCGCTCACATAAAGCACATACCCATTTCAAACCGTGTTTATCTCATTTAATTTGTTTAAAACGTTATGCATATGGCACTTTGAAAAGCCTAGCCCATAAGAATTGAAAGAAGGATAAAATAAATATGCGAAATATATAAAATCTGACTTTTAGCTATTATTTCCTTTCACTACAATAGGGATCTGCAGGTACGGAAAGTCCATTTAGGGACAACAGACGATCTTTATGATCGGTCTTCTTTCTTGGCCTAACACCAGGAAGTTCACGCAACCACGACAGCAACGGCAGTGAAAATGTGACTAATAAAGCGAGTTCGCGTTCTTCTCACTTCATCGCGATTAGTTCTTCTCGGTTCACTTAACAGTTAAAGGCAAATTTTGCTGGAGTTGAACAGAAAAGACCGCATTCAAGGTAAAAAAAAAGGATGATTCGTCGGCAAGTGTTCATGCTTTTCACAAAAGATCGCGTAAGGAGATCTCAGGTCATTGTCGTGCAGTGACGGTAAAATGTTATGCACCTACATAGTTGTGCTCATAAAACCTATCGCTGCCGTCGTCGTCGTCGTGGACTCGTGGTTGCGTGAGCTCCCCACTGTAAAGTCGTATCAGCCAACACGTGTACAACACGTGAAACGTTTGCTCACGTGTAAAGGTTGATAAGCATCATAGATTGGGCCTTTAACCACGCCCCAATCCGCGCTCGTCTCCTTGGTTGCTTTGCGAGTTGTGCCAAGCCATCATATCACATGGGTACCAAGTGACCTGTAAGCTGTAATATATTATCACGTCACAGTTACTTTTTGTCGATACTGATTATTGGCTGTCACGTTTGCGTTTCTCGGACACCATCTTCGTTTTCTTTGATCGCAGGGAGATGTTGAACCTGGCTGACAGGGTGAAGCCACGATGTTTGCTGTGTCACATGACTGCATAACAAAAATACAAGAATTTGACATTATAAAAAAGTGGTTCTATGATTAAAATTAGCCAGGGCTCGTTTGTCGTTTGTCCTGCGACTCAAGGGGCGGGAAGAGAGCCGAATAAAATTTTCTCTCCCCTCCCCCTCATTTTGCCTTAATGCCTACACCAAGGGTTGAGATTTCTGCACTCGCTAATCTTCCTTAGTGATAAAATCAAAGATGACGGCCACGGCATTACAAACATAAGCAACTTTCGCTCACCCAAAAATATGGCTTAGAAACAAACATTTTTGTGCACCAGGAGATAGCCAGGCATGAGACAAGGGCTGAATCCTAAATAAAGTGAATTCTCTGCTAAATGAATTTTTTTTTCTCAAAACCTGACTTTCCTTCCGCTCAGGGGAAACTGCCATGAGTCATAGGTAGAGAATTTTCGAATTTTCAATGCAAAACGCAGTAGATACGGTACTACTGCTACGGTATTATATTGATTGTTCTTATTCTAAACGCTCTGAAGCAACAAGCTACGGGTGTAAAAAAGGTAAAGTTACGAGAAGAGCCGATGACTAAGTATTCTCATCTGCACTCACTTGATATAGTATCTCACTCCATCTGTAGTGTAGGCTTCTTCCCAACCAAAAGGAAGAGCTGATTCGAGAAAACAAATAAGAGAGGAAATAAGTAAGAGACATTACAAGATAAACACAACTTTCTACTCGAGTGCCGTGCTAGTGAATAAGACCTCTTCAGAACCGGCCAACTTTTGGCAAAAAACGGCAGCACTATTTGATCAGATAGGCCTGTTCTCCGGCACCTCTGCGTTAACCACAAGCAGAGTGTATACCAGTAGAGTAGTTTTCGGCGTACGCGCTGCGCTCTGAGGTATTAACTAAAATCAGAATTACAAATCGTCTTTTTCTTTCCAGAGTCCAGGGATTACTTACACGGGAAGTGGACCGAAGCACCAAGCCATTTTCACACTCACTTCATATATTTCTATTTTCGGCTGCCATTTTTTTTGATATCAACTCGTAAAAATAAGCTGCGAAATTGAAATCATTGGTTGTCTCTGTAATCAGAGCATGCGTGTCAAACGTTTTAATGGAGAGGGGGATGTCAGGTGCGTAACAACGATCTCTCTCCCCCACTCCCCTTCCCCGCCATCAAGCGGCTTTCACCCAGGCTCCTGAGATTTGCTTTAAAACAGTGTTGTAATACTCACGTTCTTCCTCTATCAGCGTTTTGACAGACTTCACAGTCTCACGAGCCTCCTTTGCGAGTGAAGCCGGTGTTAACTTGGCATGACGGGATAGGTAAGTAGGTGGTTTTGGATTAGAACTGCCTTCACGACGTACTGACTCTCCTTTGCTACGCTGCGGAGGCCTGGAAACAACATGCGGGAAAAAAAATACAGCATCCACGATGAGTTTCTTTCGAAAAAAATGAGGTTACATTACAAGAAAAATTTGGTCGGGTACCGGGTTAACGCATGGAGAGCTTTACGTGGCACTGGTAGAAATACGATGGTAAAACTAGAATGTGTTGAGAAAGATATTTTTTCAGTCAGTGAAACAGACGGCTCGAAAGAAAAAATCCGAATACTCCCAACTGTAATCGAAGTAATGACCTTCGGGTTATTAGGCCCCAGTTGTTCAAAAGGTGGAAAACGCTATCCACTGGACAAATCTCTATCTAGTGGATAACGCAATTGATTTCCCTAATACCTATCCACTGGATAGTGATTTATCCAGTGGATAGCGCTATCCAACGTTTGAACAATCCGGGTCAGATGCTCTACCACTGAGCTACAGGAGACTCATGGGAGTTCAGGCCACTAAACTAGGTTCGTGTGACAAACACCCTGCATACAGCTAGGACTGGAATGTCGATATGTACTTATGCGCAGTTGGTTGTACGACTGCGCTCACTAATTCCTCACAAGCTTTCCATCATTCTACTCAGATCATCTGTTGATGCGAAAGTGTTATAAAGAAGGTACCACTTACATTCTCGACGCTCCTTCGGTTAAATTTTCATGTACCATCTGCAACACAAATGAAGGGATCAGTTAGTTGGGAGGATTGCTTCCTTATGAGTGTTGCTTAGTCCCAGGCCTACCTCAGCAAAGCGTATCAGCCTCTCCGTTGCCACTTCGTACGTTCGTTTACTGACTTCGGCTTTCCGAAGTTGACAACCGAGAACAACCAATCTTTTCTGCAACTCTTGGAGTTCCTTCTGCAAAGCAAAGAATACACTAGTAAGCTCTGGCTTGAGACTAACGGAGTATTTCCCTCAGAGAGGAGTTTAACGACTTACTTCTCGATAATAATTCACACTTAAACAGATTAGGAGGACTCAAACTAATGGTTATCGAGGAAGTACAGTGTTTTCTCAGTTGAACGGCGGGTCTAGAACACTTACTTGTGCTTTATATCATCATAAATTTGAAGGGCAAGATTCACGGCTATCACGAAAGGGCAACAAAAATGCTATCTTAAAAAAAAGCAGGCACGAATAAAGTGCATATTCAAAAAAACCGTGCCGTGTTCTCAAGGCCAAGTTTAAAACAACCCCTCCCGGGGGGAGGGGGTGGACGAGTAAATACGTCAAGTCACACGGATAAAAAGTACTTTTAATCGGAGCCAAATTACGTAAATATAAGTTTAAATGATATGGGGAAAAGCAAGATGACCAATGGCCAATTAGAACTCACCACATCAGGTTTGGGTTCAGCCTGTTTGGCCTTCAACGAATCCAGTTCTTGTTCTAAAAGACGTATGACCTAAAGAGAAGATAACACATCATTATGACAAGTCAGAGAAAGGCTACTGTCAGGCTTTCTACGTTTAAAGCAACACTTAAGCAAAGAGTGGTAAAAGACAATGAATTACGCAGTGATGGCAATGAACCAATGAATTGCACGGGAAAGAGCGCGAAAAGGCCCTGTGGCAGGCCGGCTGGTGTCAAGCGCGGTAAACATATCACACCAGGTGTTGGCCAGGTGTTAATATACTTTCTGACAAATCAACTTTATATAGAAAGTAAATAAAATCACGGCTTGAAGAGGATACTTTCTGCTTACCTCTGCATAATCCTGTTCAACATCCTTAGCCGCCCTCTGAGCCTCTGAAGCCAGGTAAACTTTCTTTTCTAATGATCTGCTTTCTTCTAGAAGACCTTGAGCGTCCTGTTAACAAACAAGATATAGAGAATGATCTTTCGAATCCACTGGAAAGTGAAGACGATCCTGATTCAGCTCTTGTATATAGCGTACATACAACACTGACTGTTACCGCGAGTTTCAATTAATTTAGTGTGAAAGGAAATTTAGTAATTGCTTTAGTTTTGTATGGATATGGTTTATTTCCAACTGAAAAATCTCGCGCCACTTTTTGACCAATCACAATTCATCGTAGCCTGTCCAGCTACTTAAAACAGCGATTGCATTTCCCCTACTTGGTGCCGGCTTTATTAATTGGTTTCCAGACCTGATTGGTTAATTTGACAGTGTTCGCGCATTCTGATTGGCATAGTAATTACTTTGGGTTTGAAAATCTCTTAACCTCATGGGTGAGAATCGGTCTTGTTTAACATCAGTTACAAAGGTTGGAATGCATGGGATTTTATTGAGGTTCCAGGAAGTTTATAGGGTAACTGTGTAGTCCATGACATGAAGATAGAATTCTCATTCAAATAAAACTCGTTTTCGAAAGGGTTTGCACTTGGCCTAATTTGAAAATTGTCCTTTTTGAGAAAGGCGTAAGGCAAGAACTAATATTTCCGTCTCACAGAGCTCTTACCCTTCTTGCTTTCATGAGCTCTTCTTCGGAGGTCAGGCATTCTTCTTCTTTCTTTTTCAGTAATTTCTTCAAATGTTGCACCTCTCGTAAAGCCTCATCTCTTTCTCGTCTAATTCGCTCAGCATTTTGCGCGCTTTGTTTTGCCTTGGCCTCGAGGGAAGCTAGCTGCGACTGCTGTTGCATCTGAAAATACACAATTTCTTCAGCTGCATGGTATCACGCACAGGGAAAGCGGATTAAACAAGTATGTTTTCTTTTACTCTTCTCACATCAGCAGGGTACTAATCTTTTACTAGTTAGATCTCTAGAGTTTAGTCATCAGAAGCCATAAGCAGGGTGTTGACTTGTGTAAAGTTCTTAAACAAGGTAGCCAAACTTAATAGATTTTATCTTTTCAGTATTAACTGAGTTAACACTCGATCAGGCCTTCGCTACCCAACTCCACCCCACTTAGGATTCCTTTTATGGACGATTACAACTTTGCGGGAGTGCTAGGAAATCTCATCTTTGTCTTTAGCAGTTTACGTGCGCGTACGTTAGTGCAAGGAATTTTACAGCGCAATCAATCAACTCAAACAGTAATCAGCAGTAATAATAATAATAATAATAACAATAATAATCATCATCATCATCATCATCATCAATATATTTATTGAATGGCAGCAAACCTTTTCAAACGCGTTGTTTTCAGCCGCGGTTGCTGCAGCATTGACATCTTGTATCGCAAACTGAACGGCTGAGGTACTCAGCGAGTGATCCTGCAGTTCCAAAGCAAACACGTTCCTCGCTGCATGAACAAAATCTGAAATCAAAACAAAGTCATCAGTGACGTTAAGTTACATAATTCGGAATTATGAGATTCAACTGTCCGGGAGTAGACCAATTTCGATACATCAAAATTCATACTTGGCTCCGAGGCTTGGAGGAATAAAATTAAGAAATGTATTATTCATTGCTAAACCTCTTTTAATTTGTTTTAGTTCCCCTAAGCCTCGGTGCCAAGTCTGATTGTAATATATCAGAATTGGTCTATTAAACTTGCGAGAACGACTTTCAAATGCAGGGTAGTTATCCCACCGTTGTAAGCTCACTGATCATTTAGCGTAGTTGTGCTGTTAGCCTGCGTAGCAAGCGTTTCCAATCGAGTTATTGCGCGAAAGTTAGAGCGGAAGCAAAAAAATTCCTCTTTTTTGCTCTCGTCCCAACTTTCTTGATGAACTCGCGCGAAAACCCTTACTACGCAAGCTATTGCGCTGTTTATGCGCTGAAGGGCAATGTGCGAGTGTAGGACCTGATTGTTATCGATCACTTAATTAAGTGATCAACTTACCTCCATAGGAGACGAATCCACCCTGATCAACAGGCAATCTTTGCCTTAATTCTCGCTGTTGTTCCTCAGTTGGGTTGAATCCTAAATATCTCAAAGCCTGAATAAATATTTTAAAAAATCTCTTAGCTCAACAATACAGTAGGTACAAAGGATGGATCATACAAAACTAAAACTGTTAAGAAATCAGGTGAAACCTTTAACAAAAAGAAAGTGGGAACTGACAGGGTGAACAATACATGTTTATGCAGCTGAGACGAGGTAAAATTTTACCTCCCTTACAACAGTTCGTTTTTTATTAGGCCAAGTCCTGCTTTAAAGAATTCATGGAAATGATAGCATGAAAAACAACGACAAGTTCAATTCGTATCAGATAAATAATAATTCTTCGCCGTGTTTAAGCATGTCTTCGTCAACTGACTGGCAGTTAAAGCCTGCTTTCTTTAATGACATGTTAACATTTTAAAATTAGCCCAAAGTGCCTGTACTCTTCCTTCGTCTCATATCGTTTCATTGATGTCAAATCTAAAGCAATTTAGCCTTGCCATAAGTTCAGTGCCTTTTTGCATTTCAAAGTGAATACGTTGAATACGGAGAAAAAAAGGGGGAATTGTATTTTTAGAAGAAAAGACTATCAGATGTTGCGTTCGTGGGCGCTATCATTAACATGGATACGGGTGCCACTCGCGTAGGCAAGGAAGCCTCCTTTCCACGCATTCGATGCAACGGGGGAAAAAACTGGATTTTCTCAGTCTTTAATTTTTCGGAAAACAAGTCCCTAGCTTCTCTAAAAACAGGAAACCTAATTGTTACATAGACAAGATGAACAGCACTAAAAGAACAGATAGAACTAACCACTTCAAGTTTTTCTACTCGAAGCTTGGTGTAAGGGTCGAGAGAGAGGCGTCGGCTTCCGCGACCGTGTCGTTTAACTCTGGGGCTACCAGATGACTGTGCATGTGTAGTCAAAAGTGACCCCTGACCAACAGAATCTGACAGCAGGCTCAAAGGTGGTGATGCGTACTGCTGCGAGATTCGATGCAGAGCTTCCAAGTCCTGCTGTAAGTAGTATGGTACTGACGAAGGTTCAAAAGCTGTTTGCACGGGGCTGATATACAGAGATCCTAGTGGTAGCTGGTGAGGCTGTGCTCCTGGTACAGGAGACCCAGCTCCTAAAAATGAAACAAAGAAACAGTCGTAGTGTGTCATAAAAAAACGAATTTTCCTCTTGTTATCTGCTTAGTTGTTTCAATCATGCTGGTACAGCCACTTCTGTAACTCATCTTCGTACATTTACCAATCAGGGGCACCCGACGTCAACTTTCCGAAAATATCTGTTCGGAAGACAATTTGAGATCTAGAATTTTCGGAACACTAGTTGTAAAATTTCTTGCTTGCCTGCCTCTCCTAGGATTTTCGAACATCTAAAAAATAGTATAATTGCCCATTTTTGACGGATTTTTACCCTAAAAAGGTCACCTAGAATTTTCGGGAGCCTTTTTTCTGGCTGAATTTTTCTAAAAGGTAACTTCTGATCCCTATAATTTTCGGATCACTAGACTTTCAGCTAGAAAATCCGAGCAGATGAAAAAGTTTAAGGAGATAAAAACGTGCCTATATCTACCGTTTACATACTAAAATACGTTTAAAAATGCTATGTTTAAGTGGTTTTGAACTATATCCTCGCTGGGTGCCCCTGACTAATTAGAACGCCTAATTTCAACACTGCAGAAGACTTTCGTCTCTTAAATGTAGTATTTTAAAGGTTACTGAACACAATTCCAGGTAAAATTAATAGCGATTCACGCACAGGGCTGGGGCACAATCTTAGTAAAAAGTACGAGACATCACTTAACACTAGTCACATTAAAACTGATTTTAGTATAAAAAGAATTTTGCACTGCAGAAAAAAGTTTACGTCAAAATATAATCAAAATAAATCTTTAAACGTCTTAACATTTCTGAGCATTTCCTGAATAATTGATTTGAATTTTTCACCAAAAAATGATACCTTAAAACTCCCAGTTTGATGACTCAAGAGAAAAATTTTCTTGGAAAAAATTGCAGTGGGTTTACCTTATTTTGGAAGCCAGTCACGAATGTAAAATTTTTAAGATTTGTAACCAAACACCTGGCCCGGCCTGTAAATGAGTTTTTCTCTCTTATTTTGTGTTTTAAGAAAGATTGTACCACTTACAAAGCAGGATAGTGTCATGTCATTAATAAATAAATCAGATAGAGCTACTGTTTTTCCTAAACTTGGCAAATGATAGACCTCCTAACACTTATTCATTTACACATCAATTGTTTAAAAGAAGAAAACTTGGCTAACTTCACTGACACTGATTCTATCGTGGGCTTTACTTGTTTGTGTTTGAAATCTAAAATAAGGAATGTTTTGAAATGCAATAATAATTTTATTGGATCTTTATTCTTTAATAAATAACTCGTTTGATGTATAATAATAAATTAATGTAGATTCAATACGTTTCTAGCATCAAAAAATGAGTTTAAAAATGTATAGTACAATCTTTTTTTAATGCTTCAAGAAAACATTGTCACCTTCATCAACAAAGTGTTTGCAACAACATTTAAAGTGCTAAAAAAAATGCTAGCGAAAATAAAACTCCAACAATCAATTCAAAGGTAACTGTTTTGAAAATGTTGAAGCCAAAGACGGAGGGAGAGAGAGTGTAAATAACACCCATAGAGAAAAACTGCAGGATTAAAGGTAGAATTCTGGGAACAGCCAGCTACTGCCCCTCCACTCACAACCAACATTTTGCCCAAAGTGGGAGGTCAATGTTAATGTTGGGTTAGGGGAGGGGAGGGGTGGGTGGAAAGCTTCCCAGAATCTTTGCCTCATCCCAACTACACTTTAAAGCAACCCTAATCAATGGCAAGCAAAAAAAACTTGAGAGTACTGTACATTTGCGGTACTGTACAGTACAGATGCAAAACATACCATTAGCAGGAATTAAGCCAGCATGATTTCCAAGAGGTTGGCCTCCTAAACCTCCATTAACATATGGTTGACCATTCCATGAACCATGCTGTTGGTTCAAAACAAGTCCGTTTGGCACACTATCAACAGTTGTAGGTGTTGATGACAAAGCTGGCTGAAATCCTCCATTGAATAATCTTGGAGGAATTGCTGTTGGTGCTTGATAGAAGCCGTTAACAGGCTGTAGGTGTGAACTCTGTACACCTGCCTGGGTTCCTACACCATTTTCCATTCTCTGCATTTGATGCGACACAGGGTGTAAAACTGCCGGTTGCGCATCCGATATAGCAGGAGGCGAGACCTGTGACTGTGGACTGCTTTGAAACATCTCCACGCTGGGTGTACTCTCCCTTGTTTCTGAGTCAGCGAGCTGCCCAGTGCTGCCTGCCAGAAGTTCATGCATAAAAATATCAGTGTTACTCAAATCAGGATCACTTGCTTGTGAAGTTCTACTTGATGACAGTGGAGAGCTAGAGTTTTCAATTCCATTGAGATTCAGTTGTGTGTGGGGAAAATCATTTTCTGAGCCTCTTCTGGGACTGTTATGTGCGGGACTTGCTGATCCATTCGGGGTCAGACTCCCAGGTCTGATTCCTCCACGTATAAATGTAACCTCAGCATCTTGTCCTCTGGAAAAATAGTTGAAATCGTTGTAAAAAAAATTACAGAGAATAATTATCCTCTTTTAGGCATGTTTTACTTCTCAACCAGCTTTGAAGCATTAATTTGATAATGCCACACAGGAAACAGCACGCACATGGTAAAAAGAAGGAAACGAAACAAGTACACCTTCATCCCTTGAACATCATTCAACAATATAAATTTAAGGGTTCACTTGAGGTTTCAACTTGGGTAGAGAGCCAGACATTCCGCGAATGTTTTTGTAATACCATTGTTAATGGTTTAATGGTGACAAAAATAATTTAGTACAACTGATAAGAAATATAACAGGAATATACAATCTGATGAGTATAAAAACCACAGACCGTGGAATCAATTTTCCAGACTAAATGATTTTTGAAATACACTGAAGTTCAAGAAACCTCTGCTCTGAAAATAATTCTAGTGAGAAAAAATAACTGGATCAATAGAAAAGAGCTTTCAATCAATGGTAGTGGTAGTTATACATATTTTTCTTGTTATAACATAAACTACTAGAAACATTCCAATTCATCATAGCATAGCCTTAAAGTGTTTACCACAAAACCACTGTAATATTACCAATGAAAATATTGTATGGTCTACTTTTCCATCACCATTTTTACAACAGTTTCAATCGCTTCAAAGACCTGATTTATGAACTTTCAATGGTTTCAGTGAAGTTTCTCTGCTTACCTTTTAGTGTGACAATGACTAAAGCTTTTGTATTTAGCCTATTAAGGCCACAGGTTTATCAATCAAGCAGTGAAGTGTTACTTTCATGCAATTCCCCTTCATTTTTATTGACAAAAGACACATCAATAAATTTCCAAACATTTACTGAAAGACATCAAAATGCTTTCAAAATGTACTCCACTCAACAGACTTTCAACAAGTGTTTTTATATCTCAATAATTTTTATTTACCTGAGTTTGAGCCTGGTGAGAAGAGATTTTGCCTGTTCATGAGTTACTCCAACAAGAGTCTCTCCATTTATGTACATAAGTCTGTCACCTCTTTTGAGTCTCCGATCCTGAAAGAGGAGAGCATAGCCTTCTGTTTTTGTTTGCTTTTCAATGTTAAGTCAGGTCTGCCTCATGTATACAACTGAAGCTGTGTGTCTTACTGTTTTTACCCATAAGCAGGTATTAGCAGGTACTTGGAAATATCCAGAAATTAAAGCATGAATTTCAAATGAAATTCAAATTAAAATGCAAATTAAATTTTAAATCTAATTTTTGAGGAGTTTTGGACTTTGATGTCCACAATTGTGCTCCAAGGAAATCTGTTGATTGGATGAACACAAACCTCTGTCTAAGCTTTAACAAATAGTTAAAACACAGAGTGCAAGATATATTGTTTCTTAACTTAACAATGCAATGGTAGACTAAATTAGAAGCCAAATTTCACACAGCTTTATAAGAAGTCTACCTTAGTTTGGCCACAAAATGTAAAAAAAGGATTTGAAAAAGGTTCCAATTCAACAAAGATAACCATACAACACATCAATTTACTCTATTTCAAATTTAAAAGTACTATTAAAAAAAACAGTAATAATGAATTATATCAGCAATTGCAAATATAATTAATTAGTAATAGGGTTTTTACTGTTGAGCCAAATGACAGCAATTTCTTTTCCAACAGCAAAAGTCTTAATGTGATCAATAGCCAAAAAAAAAAGGAAAGAAACTTGGAATATGAAAAATGCATGCAACCCTCCCCAATTCTAGTTTCACCTCTGTCGACTTGTACGTGTGAGGGTTTATCAAAACTCTCACAATTTCCTTTTCTTTCAATCTTTTCTGTTGAATAGGGTACAGCAGGAAATAAATTTACCATTGAAACCTTAAGACAAAACAACATCAAATTTCTCCACAAAATATCACTGGTTATTAATCAAACATCAAAGGTCATAAAAATAAACAGAAAGATTATCAAGTGAAAAAGGCCTTGATTGTTAAACAAATTCCCCTCAACTTAACCACAGGAAATGTATGGAAATCAGAGTGGAGAATATACACGCAGATATAAGCAAGCCTACCTTGTGAGCATCTCCCCCTTCACTGATGTCATCAATGTATACATGTGGCCCGTCAGGTCTGTTTGTACCTCCAACAATGCACAAGCCAAGCCCTGTTGAGAACCGTATCTGAATACTCTGCAGTTCACCGGGATGATCAAACGTGGGAGACGAACTTGTTGAATGCCTGTCAGTTGGCAGGCCAGAATCATTAGTGACCTCTGAAGAAACACTTTGTTGTTCCACAGTCAGGTGACTGTTACCATTGAATTCTGGAGACCTCTCCTCTGGGGANCTTGATTGTTAAACAAATTCCCCTCAACTTAACCACAGGAAATGTATGGAGATCAGAGTGGAGAATATACACGCAGATATAAGCAAGCCTACCTTGTGAGCATCTCCCCCTTCACTGATGTCATCAATGTATACATGTGGCCCGTCAGGTCTGTTTGTACCTCCAACAATGCACAAGCCAAGCCCTGTTGAGAACCGTATCTGAATACTCTGCAGTTCACCGGGATGATCAAACGTGGGAGACGAACTTGTTGAATGCCTGTCAGTTGGCAGGCCAGAATCATTAGTGACCTCTGAAGAAACACTTTGTTGTTCCACAGTCAGGTGACTGTTACCATTGAATTCTGGAGACCTCTCCTCTGGGGACCTCTGTGGGGAAAGGGTTGCACCATTGAAGTGGCGTGCATACTGCTGTGTTCTGTTTGCTGTTGCGGAGAGCTTTTGAAGACTGGACTTGTAAGAGGGAGGTTCATACGCCCCTGTAAGCAATAATCAAAGTCACTGACAGTTATATTTAGGTAGTAGCCAGAGAAAACAACCAACATTTTGCAACACAACAACTCGTTTCCCTGCCAAATGATCATTCAGGAATGAGTGCAGAAATTCCATACTGATAAAATATCACTACCCAGATCTGGCCAGTAGGACTTGTGATTAACAATTATTGTGCCATGAGGAAAATTTGCTTCAACCAATCAGACAGTCTTCAGGCCAAAGAACTAGAAGAAAAATGCTTCCATACATTTTACCAGAATACTAGTGCACATAAAGTAAGTGGGGCACTTGAGGTAGAATTTAATTGTGTGCTCTACAGTGGCTTGAAGTTTGTTTTGGTGCACAGAAAAAAACAAATGAATTAAAACCATAGGCATACCAGGAGGATGTTGCACCACAGTTGGACCAACAGGAAGTGTTGGTAGATCCATAGAGTACATTCTCTGCAAACTTGCTGAGGGTCTGTCAAGTGATCCTGTGGGAGAAAGAACAGGACTACCATGGCGACCTCCTGCAAGGGGAGACATCTGACCAGCTGTCATCACCCAGGAACGTTTTCCTGCAAGACAATAAGAATAATTCATTGGGGTCATAAAAGTGGCTCAGTTCCAAAATTCCTTTCTGAGTTGCTGTGGGTAGTTTACATTGTCATTGTACGTTAGTTGGTTATTGTTATACTTCCTGCCAATGTTAGAGGAACAAGTTCACAAACGTATTGTATGATGAGTGCAAGGTTGCTATAAGAGATACAAGGTTATACCAGGTTCACTTACCCATAGTAGGTGAAGGAGTTGATGCTCGTGAACTGCCAAAACTACCACTTCTTATGAAGCCATTTACAGCGGTGCCATTGGTTATACCAGCGGATGATATTCCTCCATTCAGAGCCTCCATTAACGTGGTAAATTCTTGCCTAAAGAAGAACAAGGTATGAGGAGATTTTTATCCAGGGGTGCTTTCCATTTTACGGAAATTCTGGTTGGGAGTTTAAGAAATTCCTCTTTATCGAATGGTACATTCCAATTACACAGACCCAACCCAAGCCACTTCGCATTTGGTTATTCTCCTTGTAAGCAGGATACAGGAGAGTGGTACTGGAAACAACAATTTTGTCAAATGGAAAGGGACTTTTCGGTCTGACCAACCAAAATAACTGGACCGGTCAAAGTGGATCACTTTCAAAGGTGGTCCTTTATATTCCAGTCAGACCAAACCAAAATGGCTTGTTCCATTTGATTTTCAACCAAAATTTCTAGAATTTTGGGCTTAATGGAAAGTTGCCCAGGTTACAAGTTCCATTCTTAAATGTCTGGGGTTTTAGCAACCGGGTGTTATTCCTCTGCCAATACTCTGCTTACCTAGCATGAACATCCCTACAAACCACAAGTTTTGCCTGATTTGATTGAGCAGCATTTCGCAGTAAAGACATTGCTCTGAAAAAGAGAAGAAAAGGAAAAACTAAAAGATGCAGGCAGAGTTGGGAATACCAACACCATTCGCCATTTGCACACCTTGTTTGCTCCCCAAAACTTTCGCATGAGCATTACCTTTAATTTCTCCTCAGAAAACTTCAATAACAAGAAGTAGGGTTCTAATTAAGTGCTGGCAGCCGGCTAAAAACAACGGCTGCTTGGATTTTTTTTTTTGGGCAGGGGAAAGGGTAAAGTGAGAGAGTGATAGCCTGAAATTGCCCACAGTACTATAAGAGCCCCGCAGGAGAAATGAAAAACAAAGGTTATCCAAAAATTTGGGGGGAGCAAACATGATGTATTATGGGGGATGTGCAAATGGCGAATAAGACAAGATAGAGGGAGATCAAATCAAGACGGTGAAAAAAAGGTAAGAAAATGAAAAGGTTATTATCAATGATATTACTCTGTGAATAATAACAGAAACATTTCTGGAATGTTATATTTGTGTTGGAAGAAGAGCTTATGAGATGGCATAAAAAATTAAACCCCAAATACATGTATAAATTAGTTTATGGTTTTATGACAAACCCACATGTCCTTATTTAGCTGTGATTGGTCATAACACAATAAACATTCTTGAAAAATTTCAGGTGTTCACCATTTTCTAATTTGAAATTGACAATGGAGCTTTCTTCAAGCTAAACTTACTTATCATTGGACACGCCATGTAGGCTGCATCCATTCACCTCCAACAATTGGTCACCTTCTCTAAGCCTCCCTGAAAAAAAAGAACCATCATAGATAATATTCACTGACAAACGTACAACTTGCATTGTTAAACCAGCAAAGTACGAATACCAAGCAAGATAACTTGAAGAGCAAATCTGGGTCCATATAATGTATTTTATTAATGTTACATTGGATATTTATGTTTAACCAGGAAATTAATAGAGGATATTACATGGCTGTGCGGAGATAAAAAATTTCTCTATAAGTGTTGAAAATTATTTCACTCGTTCGCTGCATTCACTCATGAAATATTTTTCAACACTCGCAGAGAAATTTCGTATCTCCAAGCGGCCATATAATCTTCTATTTATTATATAAACACCAATGAAATTCCAAACCATTTCACTTAAATATTTTTTTGCTGTAAAAGCCTCTATTTATTATGTAGCCATAGCAACGGTGATCTTTTCACATGTGAAAATAACATGTTATATGTTTTTGCGTGAAAGCTCACCTGGTATTTATATAATTATACTACTACATGAGAAATTTCTGTAATTTGATTGGCTTAGAGCAGTGGTATTTCAGTTTAATTTGAAATACCTACATGTGAAATTACAAACCTTTAGCGGGTAGTAGTATAAACAAATAATAGCATGATTTGTACGTGATATTTAGCATAAATACCACTCGTGATATTTCAAAATTGTCTCAAATTTCACTCGCCTAATGGCTCGTGAAATTACGTATAACAGTTTTGAAATATCACTCGTGGTATTTATGCCAAATATCACTACTAATCATGCTATTACCTATACTAATACAAGTTATTACATACCAGATTGCCTTATCTAATATTAGATAACCATTATCATTCATCATCATTATCATTATACAAGCCAAGCTAGCATGTAATAAATTACATGCTAGATTGGCTTATTGTGTAACTTCCTGGCAACTCTGTAATCATGATGAGGACTTATTCTTACCATCTAGATCAGCAACACCTCCACTAAGAACTTTCTTAACAAATATCCCAAAATCTGCTCCTAGAGCTGATTTTCCACCAGCAATCTTGATTCCTGGTTGCAAAGTGACAATATTGATATTAATGCAATGCTTAAAGATGATATCACCAACAAAGGAAAATATAAATAATTTTTTATCGCTGAATTTTATTGTTGTATGCAAGACATGTATATTCAAAGAACTTATGATAAATTAAAGGCCTTTTGGTAATAAGCAGACAAACTCACCCAATCCACTGTGACAGTTCTTGATATTTATCACTTCTGTTTCATGCCTGTCTCTGATATCCACCTGTAATCTAAAAATAACAATATTAAAATATTAGAAAATAGTGTTAAATGTCAAGCTGCAAGTTGATTCCCTGCCTCTATTCATCAAAACACATTGAAACTGTAAAACTGAAGTGTCTCTTACAGCAAACTCTTAAGTTCAATAGCCAACTAACGTTTGCAATCTTTGCTGCTGTCAGTCTAGCCTGCAAGCAAGCTCTCCGGGGCACTCTGGTGGCAGGGCAGGAAAAGGGAAGAGAACTTGCAACTATATCTCTGGAAGTTGAATATCTGCATTGAAAAAGTCTATGCGAAATGCTGATTGGCAGAGATGACATTAGTAATGCAGTCATTGACCAAGGCACTTCTTTTTCAATGTTTGTTTACATTTGTGCTTGTTTCTGCTTTGTGGTGATTGATGGAAATCTGACAGCTCATTTGACTGGGAACCACAGGGGAATTGGCGAATGAGATGTAGTTGCAAGCTCTCCTTCCTTTTCCCGCCCAGCCGCCAGAGCGCCCAGGATAGCTTGCTTACAGGCTACCGTCTATCATCTTAGCAGAACTCACAGAAAAAAGAAGGGTAAAGGTCATGGTTTGTGATTGGTGGATTTCAATCCACTTTAAGTGTTCTGGTGATTTTTGAAGGCATTAGTATCAAAACTTGAAAAAGTTGGCCCATTTTTTTTCAAATTTCAAGCAATGTCCATCTTTGCCATTCACAGTGCTCAACAAACTACCAGGAAATAGTCTCAACACTTAAAAATTAATTTAGCCTTAAATAACAAAACTGGACCATTACTTTTAGTATTCAATGCAAAAACACCTTTTAACTTTTCAAAAAGATAGCAAAAAGCATCACATAAGCTTCTTTAAATTTCAGAGTTCATGTGGTACTGAAAGGTGCAGAAGTGCAGTAGTTAGTGCCACATTGTTTCGTGGTTACAAGACTTAAACAATAAAACTGCATGTGGCAGTGATAATTTCCCCTAAAAAAGACTGAAGTTTTTAAGACAAAATAAATGGTTTGCCACCAGCTGAGCAGTATCAAAAAGAAAACACCTTTAGGCCTGCTGTGAAAAAGCTGGTCTAACCTAAACCCTTCATTCATTATAATGGCTACAGCTTTGCTTGAAAAAATACAGTATTTTGTAGACTTCTAGAAACCAGTGATAATGACTTGGCTACAGTGCTAGTTATGTCAATCAGTAGATCTTCAACTGCAGTATTTAAACTAACAACCCTGACAACAACATCGTGGGCATGTCGCTGCCACATAGAAATTAAATATCTAAAAAAAGATTATCTTCAGCGCTCGGGGTACAAACAGTACCTTGGTGATATGTTGTCCCTCGTCACCAGTGACAGGCCTTCCATGTCCTTCTAGTCTTCTACATCACATTCTTAAATTAAAAAAATTAAAGTGGGAGACGAACTTGTTGAATGCCTGTCAGTTGGCAGGCCAGAATCATTAGTGACCTCTGAAGAAACACTTTGTTGTTCCACAGTCAGGTGACTGTTACCATTGAATTCTGGAGACCTCTCCTCTGGGGATCTCTGTGGGGAAAGGGTTGCACCATTGAAGTGGCGTGCATACTGCTGTGTTCTGTTTGCTGTTGCTGAGAGTTTTTGAAGACTGGAGTTGTAAGAGGGAGGTTCATATGCCCCTGTAGGCAATAATCAAAGTGACTGATGGTTATATTTGGTTAGTAGCCTGAGAAAACAGCCAACATTTTGCAACACCACAACTGGTTTCCCAGCAAAATGATCATTGAGGAATGAGTGCAGAAATTCCATACTGATAAATATCACTACCCAGATCTGGCCAGTAGGGCTTGTGATTAATTGTGCCATGAGGAAATTTGCTTCAACCAATCAGACAGTGTTCAGGCCAAAGAACTGGAAGAAAAATGCTTCCATACATGTTACCATAATACTAAGTGGGGCACTTGAGGGCACTTGAGGTAGAATTTAATTGTGTGCTCTACAGTGGCTTGAATTTTGTTTTGGTGCACAGAAAAAACAAATGAATTAAAACCATAGGCATACCAGGAGGATGTTGCACTACAGTTGGACCAACAGGAAGTGTTGGTAGATCCATAGAGTACATTCTCTGCAAACTTGCTGAGGGTCTGTCAAGTGATCCTGTGGGAGAAAGAACAGGACTAACATGTCGACCTCCTGCCAGGGGAGACATCTGACCAGCTGTCATCACCCAGGAGCGTTTTCCTGCAAGACAATAAGAATAATTCATTGGGGTCATAAAAGTGGCTCAGTTCCAAAATTCCTTTCTGAGTTGCTGTGGGTAGTTTACATTGTCATTGTACGTTAGTTGGTTATTGTTATATTTCCTGCCAATGTTAGAGGAACAAGTTCACAAACTTATCTATGATGAGTGCAAGGTTGCTATAAGAGATACAAGGTTATCCCAGGTTCACTTACCCATAGTAGGTGAAGGAGTTGATGCTCGTGAACTGCCAAAACTACCACTTCTTATGAAGCCATTTACAGCTGTGCCATTGGTTATACCAGCGGATGATATTCCTCCATTCAGAGCCTCCATTAATGTGGTAAATTCTTGCCTAAAGAAGAACAAAGTAAGAGGAGATTTTTATCCAGTGGTGCTTTCCATTTCACGGAAATTCTAGTTGGGAGTTTAAGAAATTCCTCTTTATCGAATGGTACATTCCAATTACACAGACCCAACCCAAGCCACTGCGCATTTGGTCATTCTCCTTGTAAGCAGGATACAGGAGAGTGGTACTGAAAACAACAATTTTGTCAAATGGAAAGGGACATTTCGGTCTAACCGACCAAAATAACTGGACCGGTCAAAGTGGATCACTTTCAATGGTGGTCCTTGATATTCCACTCAGACTAAACCAAAATGGCCTGTTCCACTTGATTTTTAACCAAAATTTCCAGAATTTTGGGCTGAATGGAAAGTTGCCCATGTTAAAAGTTCCATGGTTAAATGTCTGGGGGTTTAGCGACCGGGTGCTATTCCTTTCCCAATACTTTGCTTACCTAGCATGAACATCCCTACAAACCACAAGTTTTGCCTGATTTGATTGAGCAGCATTTCGCAGTAAAGACATTGCTCTGAAAAAGAGAAGAAAAGGAAAAACTAAAAGATGCAGGCAGAGTTGGGAATACCAACACCATTCGCCATTTGCACACCTTGTTTGCTCCCCAAAACTTTCGCATGAGCATTACCTTTAATTTCTCCTCAGAAAACTTCAATAACAAGAAGTAGGGTTCTAATTAAGTGCTGGCAGCCGGCTAAAAACAACGGCTGCTTGGATTTTTTTTTTTGGGCAGGGGAAAGGGTAAAGTGAGAGAGTGATAGCCTGAAATTGCCCACAGTACTATAAGAGCCCCGCAGGAGAAATGAAAAACAAAGGTTATCCAAAAATTTGGGGGGAGCAAACATGATGTATTATGGGGGATGTGCAAATGGCGAATAAGACAAGATAGAGGGAGATCAAATCAAGACGGTGAAAAAAAGGTAAGAAAATGAAAAGGTTATTATCAATGATATTACTCTGTGAATAATAACAGAAACATTTCTGGAATGTTATATTTGTGTTGGAAGAAGAGCTTATGAGATGGCATAAAAAATTAAACCCCAAATACATGTATAAATTAGTTTATGGTTTTATGACAAACCCACATGTCCTTATTTAGCTGTGATTGGTCATAACACAATAAACATTCTTGAAAAATTTCAGGTGTTCACCATTTTCTAATTTGAAATTGACAATGGAGCTTTCTTCAAGCTAAACTTACTTATCATTGGACACGCCATGTAGGCTGCATCCATTCACCTCCAACAATTGGTCACCTTCTCTAAGCCTCCCTGAAAAAAAAGAACCATCATAGATAATATTCACTGACAAACGTACAACTTGCATTGTTAAACCAGCAAAGTACGAATACCAAGCAAGATAACTTGAAGAGCAAATCTGGGTCCATATAATGTATTTTATTAATGTTACATTGGATATTTATGTTTAACCAGGAAATTAATAGAGGATATTACATGGCTGTGCGGAGATAAAAAATTTCTCTATAAGTGTTGAAAATTATTTCACTCGTTCGCTGCATTCACTCATGAAATATTTTTCAACACTCGCAGAGAAATTTCGTATCTCCAAGCGGCCATATAATCTTCTATTTATTATATAAACACCAATGAAATTCCAAACCATTTCACTTAAATATTTTTTTGCTGTAAAAGCCTCTATTTATTATGTAGCCATAGCAACGGTGATCTTTTCACATGTGAAAATAACATGTTATATGTTTTTGCGTGAAAGCTCACCTGGTATTTATATAATTATACTACTACATGAGAAATTTCTGTAATTTGATTGGCTTAGAGCAGTGGTATTTCAGTTTAATTTGAAATACCTACATGTGAAATTACAAACCTTTAGCGGGTAGTAGTATAAACAAATAATAGCATGATTTGTACGTGATATTTAGCATAAATACCACTCGTGATATTTCAAAATTGTCTCAAATTTCACTCGCCTAATGGCTCGTGAAATTACGTATAACAGTTTTGAAATATCACTCGTGGTATTTATGCCAAATATCACTACTAATCATGCTATTACCTATACTAATACAAGTTATTACATACCAGATTGCCTTATCTAATATTAGATAACCATTATCATTCATCATCATTATCATTATACAAGCCAAGCTAGCATGTAATAAATTACATGCTAGATTGGCTTATTGTGTAACTTCCTGGCAACTCTGTAATCATGATGAGGACTTATTCTTACCATCTAGATCAGCAACACCTCCACTAAGAACTTTCTTAACAAATATCCCAAAATCTGCTCCTAGAGCTGATTTTCCACCAGCAATCTTGATTCCTGGTTGCAAAGTGACAATATTGATATTAATGCAATGCTTAAAGATGATATCACCAACAAAGGAAAATATAAATAATTTTTTATCGCTGAATTTTATTGTTGTATGCAAGACATGTATATTCAAAGAACTTATGATAAATTAAAGGCCTTTTGGTAATAAGCAGACAAACTCACCCAATCCACTGTGACAGTTCTTGATATTTATCACTTCTGTTTCATGCCTGTCTCTGATATCCACCTGTAATCTAAAAATAACAATATTAAAATATTAGAAAATAGTGTTAAATGTCAAGCTGCAAGTTGATTCCCTGCCTCTATTCATCAAAACACATTGAAACTGTAAAACTGAAGTGTCTCTTACAGCAAACTCTTAAGTTCAATAGCCAACTAACGTTTGCAATCTTTGCTGCTGTCAGTCTAGCCTGCAAGCAAGCTCTCCGGGGCACTCTGGTGGCAGGGCAGGAAAAGGGAAGAGAACTTGCAACTATATCTCTGGAAGTTGAATATCTGCATTGAAAAAGTCTATGCGAAATGCTGATTGGCAGAGATGACATTAGTAATGCAGTCATTGACCAAGGCACTTCTTTTTCAATGTTTGTTTACATTTGTGCTTGTTTCTGCTTTGTGGTGATTGATGGAAATCTGACAGCTCATTTGACTGGGAACCACAGGGGAATTGGCGAATGAGATGTAGTTGCAAGCTCTCCTTCCTTTTCCCGCCCAGCCGCCAGAGCGCCCAGGATAGCTTGCTTACAGGCTACCGTCTATCATCTTAGCAGAACTCACAGAAAAAAGAAGGGTAAAGGTCATGGTTTGTGATTGGTGGATTTCAATCCACTTTAAGTGTTCTGGTGATTTTTGAAGGCATTAGTATCAAAACTTGAAAAAGTTGGCCCATTTTTTTTCAAATTTCAAGCAATGTCCATCTTTGCCATTCACAGTGCTCAACAAACTACCAGGAAATAGTCTCAACGCGTAAAAATTAATTTAGCCTTAAATAACAAAACTGGACCATTACTTTTAGTATTCAATGCAAAAACACCTTTTAACTTTTCAAAAAGATAGCAAAAAGCATCACATAAGCTTCTTTAAATTTCAGAGTTCATGTGGTACTGAAAGGTGCAGAAGTGCAGTAGTTAGTGCCACATTGTTTCGTGGTTACAAGACTTAAACAATAAAACTGCATGTGGCAGTGATAATTTCCCCTAAAAAAGACTGAAGTTTTTAAGACAAAATAAATGGTTTGCCACCAGCTGAGCAGTATCAAAAAGAAAACACCTTTAGGCCTGCTGTGAAAAAGCTGGTCTAACCTAAACCCTTCATTCATTATAATGGCTACAGCTTTGCTTGAAAAAATACAGTATTTTGTAGACTTCTAGAAACCAGTGATAATGACTTGGCTACAGTGCTAGTTATGTCAATCAGTAGATCTTCAACTGCAGTATTTAAACTAACAACCCTGACAACAACATCGTGGGCATGTCGCTGCCACATAGAAATTAAATATCTAAAAAAAGATTATCTTCAGCGCTCGGGGTACAAACAGTACCTTGGTGATATGTTGTCCCTCGTCACCAGTGACAGGCCTTCCATGTCCTTCTAGTCTTCTACATCACATTCTTAAATTAAAAAAATTAAGAACAACATCAATAATTACCTTGTCTAATAATTTGCAATTGAGTTGACAAGTGATGTGGTGATGGGAAGACCTGAACTGGAAGTGGAAACTTTAATTTTAACTTTTGTTGTAGTCAGAGTATAATTGCTTAGCCAGGAATGCAAAAATCATCACTTTTTCTTACTGGCTAAGACTACGATATAGTGGATTTTCCCTGATTTGATAATATAGTTACAGTAATAATTTTTACAAATTTAAAATAAACTAAGAAATGTAGAACCTACTACAGGAGAGAAATTTATAATGTTATATACTAAAATGCTGTTGATCTTCACACAAAATTTCTTATGGGTAGGTGCAATTATCAAAAAATCTTCAAAACATCGGATTGTACAATCTTATCTATAATTAACACTTCACAGGGGGATGCAAACATTAATGACCAACATTACACCAAAAATTAACGTAAAAGGAGCAGACATGAAATGTGCCAGTTTGAGAGAAAATTAAAATCTGGGAATGAAACCAAAACAGGACCTCGCTCATACATGAGATCAAAGAATAGTTAAATTTAAAGAAACTTAAACGCATTGAATTGATTTTAAAGCTAGTAGCTTTCAAAGCTGATGAAATTGTTGATGTTTTCAAGGCAGATTTACAACTTATGTAAACCTCGAAGCTCATTTTCAATCAGTAACAATGCAAGAACTGAAATATGGTATCAAAGTACAAGATCGGAGGCTGTAGAGCAGAACTGTACACAGCGTAAAAGCTCATGTAGGCCGCCATTTTGTTTGCTGCGTATCCAATAATACTACTGTGCACAGCAAAAAGCCGACCTTCGATCATCACTTTATTCTTCGTGCGCGAATTCCCAGGGAATCCAGCCAATATATATACGCTCTAAATATCGATCATCAAAATCAAGAACATAGAGATTCACTTTATACGATTATATTACTCTGCAACATACTGCTAAACGACCAGAATATCCGATGATGTAGTAGTATCACGATTGAAATGTAAACAAAGCACAATCTCATGAGACAAATTTCATTCCCCAATGTTTTCTCACCAAAAATTGCCATTTTCCAGGCCGTTTGCAATACTTGGTGACAGTTGTGGTGATCGAATTATCTTTTCTGGTGAAATACTCATAGAGATGGGTTTCATGATTGGCAAATTATCGTTTTAACTTCAGCTGTTTTCAGGTCGTTGCACAAAATAAGCGGTCTTCTGAAATAATGTTTTCGTACTCAAAGTATAAAAATAAAACTCTAAAACGAATTAAAACATCCAGTTGTCTGAACAAACATTGATTTTAAAATATTAAAATGCAACAAAATGTGGCAGTGGCAATTTTGACGTCAAAATACAGCCGAATTTGAGTTTGCAGAGAATAAGAATATTGTAAAAAACGGATGTTATGATCACAAAAGATTTCCTCTTAAAATACTTACGCGAGAAAATGTTCTCAAGCAGTGACAAAAAGCACATTAGAGCATGTGAGTAACATATCTCGCCATTGGTAAACATTTTCCAATGTCAAGTTCGAAGACAGAGGTCGAGCTAAAACCAAGAAGCTGTCATAAACACTGTAACACTGCGGTTAAACAACCCGCAAAAAAATTAAGAGCCGATTCTCCTAACCGATTTAAATTTAACCGCGTTCTAAACATTCGAAACAAACAGACACCCGTTCCTCACCTCAAACATTCGGTTGAGTTAGTGATAAAACTACTTTTTGATGTGTAGATAGAACAATATGCCGTAATCTCGGTTTCACACACATCGAGCGAACGTAAAGGCAACTAAAGCTCACCTTCGCTGAAAGCCGACCGACGCCAAATAAATGAAGTAGAGATAGTGCGGTGTTTGTTGGTATAATAAACCGTCTTCAAGAACTGTGTTTATCCTAGCCAGTGTAAATTATCGTGCAATATCATTGGAGTAGTTTCCTCGGATCTGTTTACCACGCGTGAATAAATGCAGCTTTACAAGCTCCGTCGCATTCCATACATCAAACGTATAGTGCCTGCCGCCGTTGTTAATTAGCAACGGGGGTATTCAAATATCCCAGGGATTAATATTACAGTCTGGAGAAACTGTAAGTACCCGGTAGGCAAAAAAAAAAAATAGTTAGCCTTATTTATAACAATTATGCCTGAACAGCAAACAAAAAAGGAAGATGAAAAGAAAGTTATTGACCACAAAGACAAGCTTAACTGCATTAAACTGACTGTAATTCTATAAATTGTGCTATTGAAATGCACGTAATTTGGTTCTGCCAGTCGCCGCAGACTATTGGTGTCAAAATCTCCTTGCTATTAAACAAGATTGAAGCAAGAATTTTAATTTTCTAGAACTGTCAGGTATAAAAAAAGAAAAACGGCAAAATAGTTTTTGAATCTTTAGATTTACGCGGGAGTCCGATTTGTTTAATCACGAGTATGATTACAGACCGAATTGGACGACACAAAGTTCTGTTACCAACTAGCAGTAAAAAAAAAAGCCATTTAAAAAAGGTTATGCAAAACTTTGGGGGGAGCAACCATGATGTATTATGGGGGATGTGCAAATGGCGAATAAGACAAGATAGAGGGAGATCAAATCAAGACGGTGAAAAAAAAGGTAAGAAAATGAAAAGGTTATTATCAATGATATTACTCTGTGAATAATAACAGAAACATTTCTGGAATGTTATATTTGTGTTGGAAGAAAAGCTTATGAGATGGCATAAAAAATTAAACCTCAAATACATGTACATGGTTTTATGACAAGCTCACATGTCCTTATTTAGCTGTGATTGGTCATTACACAATAAACATTCTTGAAACATTTCCGGTGTTCGCCATTTTCTAATTTGGAATTAATGGAGCTTTCTTCAAGCTAAACTTACTTATCATTGGACACGCCATGTAGGCTGCATCCATTCACCTCCAACAACTGGTCACCTTCTCTAAGCCTCCCTGATAAAAAAGAGCCATCATAGATAATATTCACTGACAAACGTACAACTTGCATTGTTAAACCAGCAAAATACGAATACCAAGCAAGATAACTTAGAGAGCCAATCTGGGTCCATATAATGCATTTTATAAATGTTACATTGGATGTTTTATGTTTAACCAGGAAATTAATAAAGGATATTACATGGCTGCGCGGAAATAAAAAATTTCCCTTCGAGTGTTGAAAATAATTTCACTCGTTCGCTACATTCATTCATGAAATATTTTTCAACATTCAAAGAGAAATTTCGTATCTCCAAGCGGCCATGTAATGTTCTATTTATTATATAAACACCAATGAAATTCCAAACCATTTCACTAAAAATTTTTTTTGCTGCAAAAGGCGCTATTCATTATGTAGCCATAGCAACGGTGATCTTTTCACATGTGAATATAACATGTTATATGTTTTTGCGCAAAACTCACTTGGTATTTATATAATAATACAAGTTATTACATACCAGATTGGCTTATCAAATATGAGATAACCATTATTATTCATCATCATTATCATTATACAAGCCAATCTAGCATGTAATAAATAATTTATTACATGCTAGATTGGCTCATTGTATAACTTCCTGGCAACTCTGTAATCATGATGAATGTTTATTCTTACCATCTAGATCAGCAACACCTCCACTAAGAACTTTCTTAACAAATATCCCAAAATCTGCTCCTAGAGCTGATTTTCCACCAGCAATCTTGATTCCTGGTTGCAAAGTGACAATATTGATATTAACGCAATGCATAAAGATGATATCAACAACAAAGGAAAATATAAATAATTTTTTACCGCTGAATTTTATTGTTGTATGCAAGACATGTATATTCAAAGAACTTCTGATACATTAAAGGCCTTTTGGTAATAAGCAGACAAACTCACCCAATCCACTGTGACAGTTCTTGATATTTATCACTTCTGTTTCATGCCTGTCTCTGATATCCACCTGTAATCTAAAAATAAAAAAAATAAAAAAATATTAGAAAACAGTGTTAAATATCAAGCTGCAAGCTGCCTCCCTGCCTCTATTCATCAAAACACATTGAAACTGTAAAACTGAAGTGTCTCTTACAGCAAACTCTTAAGTTCAAAAGCCAACTAACGTTTCCAATCTTTGCTGCTGTCAGTCTAGCCTGCAAGCAAGCTCTCCAGGGCGCTCTGGTGGCAGGGCAGGAAAAGGGAAGAGAACTTGCAACTATATCTCTGGAAGTTGAATATCTGCATTGAAAAAGTCTATGCGAAATGCTGATTGGCAGAGATGACATTAGTAATGCAGTCATTGACCAAGGCACTTCTTTTTCAATGTTTGTTTACATTTGTGCTTGTTTCTGCTTTGTGGTGATTGATGGAAATCTGACAGCTCAGTTGACTGGGAACCACAGGGGAATTGGGGAATGAGATGTAGTTGCAAGCTCTCCTTCCTTTTCCCGCCCAGCCGCCAGAGTGCCCAGGATAGCTTGCTTACAGGCTACCGTCTATCATCTTAGCAGAACTCACAGAAAAAAGAAGGGTAAAGGTCATGGTTTATGATTGGTGGATTTCAATCCACTTTAAGTGTTCTGGTGATTTTTGAAGGCATTAGTATCAAAACTTGAAAAAGTTGGCCCATTTTTTTTCAAATTTCAAGCAATGTCCATCTTTGCCATTCACAGTGCTCAACAAACTACCAGGAAATAGTCTCAACACTTAAAAATTAATTTAGCCTTAAATAACAAAACTGGACCATTACTTTTAGTATTCAATGCAAAAACACCTTTTAACTTTTCAAAAAGATAGCAAAAAGCATCACATAAGCTTCTTTAAATTGCAGAGTTCATGTGGTATTGAAAGGTGCAGAAGTGCAGTAGTTAGTGCCACATTGTTTCGTGGTTACAAGACTTAAACAATAAAACTGCATGTGGCAGTGATAATTTCCCCTAAAAAAGACTGAAGTTTTTAAGACAAAATAAATGGTTTGCCACCAGCTGAACAGTATCAAAAAGAAAACACCTTTAGGCCTGCTGTGAAAAAGCTGGTCTAACCTAAACCCTTCATTCATTATAATGGCTACAGCTTTGCTTGAAAAAATACAGTATTTTGTAGACTTCTAGAAACCAGTGATAATGACTTGGCTACAGTGCTAGTTATGTCAATCAGTAGATCTTCAACTGCAGTATTTAAACTAACAACCCTGACAACAACACTGTGGGCATGTCGCTGCCACATAGAAATTAAATATCTAAAAAAAGATTATCTTCAGCGCTCGGGGTACAAACAGTACCTTGGTGATATGTTGTCCCTCGTCACCAGTGACAGGCCTTCCATGTCCTTCTAGTCTTCTACATCACATTCTTAAATTAAAAAAATTAAGAACAACATCAATAATTACCTTGTCTAATAATTTGCAATTGAGTTGACAAGTGATGTGGTGATGGGAAGACCTGAACTGGAAGTGGAAACTTTAATTTTAACTTTTGTTGTAGTCAGAGTATAATTGCTTAGCCAGGAATGCAAAAATCATCACTTTTTCTTACTGGCTAAGACTACGATATAGTGGATTTTCCCTGATTTGATAATATAGTTACAGTAATAATTTTTACAAATTTAAAATAAACTAAGAAATGTAGAACCTACTACAGGAGAGAAATTTATAATGTTATATACTAAAATGCTGTTGATCTTCACACAAAATTTCTTATGGGTAGGTGCAATTATCAAAAAATCTTCAAAACATCGGATTGTACAATCTTATCTATAATTAACACTTCACAGGGGGATGCAAACATTAATGACCAACATTACACCAAAAATTAACGTAAAAGGAGCAGACATGAAATGTGCCAGTTTGAGAGAAAATTAAAATCTGGGAATGAAACCAAAACAGGACCTCGCTCATACATGAGATCAAAGAATAGTTAAATTTAAAGAAACTTAAACGCATTGAATTGATTTTAAAGCTAGTAGCTTTCAAAGCTGATGAAATTGTTGATGTTTTCAAGGCAGATTTACAACTTATGTAAACCTCGAAGCTCATTTTCAATCAGTAACAATGCAAGAACTGAAATATGGTATCAAAGTACAAGATCGGAGGCTGTAGAGCAGAACTGTACACAGCGTAAAAGCTCATGTAGGCCGCCATTTTGTTTGCTGCGTATCCAATAATACTACTGTGCACAGCAAAAAGCCGACCTTCGATCATCACTTTATTCTTCGTGCGCGAATTCCCAGGGAATCCAGCCAATATATATACGCTCTAAATATCGATCATCAAAATCAAGAACATAGAGATTCACTTTATACGATTATATTACTCTGCAACATACTGCTAAACGACCAGAATATCCGATGATGTAGTAGTATCACGATTGAAATGTAAACAAAGCACAATCTCATGAGACAAATTTCATTCCCCAATGTTTTCTCACCAAAAATTGCCATTTTCCAGGCCGTTTGCAATACTTGGTGACAGTTGTGGTGATCGAATTATCTTTTCTGGTGAAATACTCATAGAGATGGGTTTCATGACTGGCAAATTATCGTTTTAACTTCAGCTGTTTTCAGGTCGTTGCACAAAATAAGCGGTCTTCTGAAATAATGTTTTCGTACTCAAAGTATAAAAATAAAACTCTAAAACGAATTAAAACATCCAGTTGTCTGAACAAACATTGATTTTAAAATATTAAAATGCAACAAAATGTGGCAGTGGCAATTTTGACGTCAAAATACAGCCGAATTTGAGTTTGCAGAGAATAAGAATATTGTAAAAAACGGATGTTATGATCACAAAAGATTTCCTCATAAAATACTTACGCGAGAAAATGTTCTCAAGCAGTGACAAAAAGCACATTAGAGCATGTGAGTTACATATCTCGCCATTGGTAAACATTTTCCAATGTCAAGTTCGAAGACAGAGGTCGAGCTAAAACCAGAAGCTGTCATAAACACTGTAACACTGCGGTTAAACAACCCGCAAAAAAATTAAGAGCCGATTCTCCTAACCGATTTAAATTTAACCGCGTTCTAAACATTCGAAACAAACAGACACCCGTTCCTCACCTCAAACATTCGGTTGAGTTAGTGATAAAACTACTTTTTGATGTGTAGATAGAACAATATGCCGTAATCTCGGTTTCACACACATCGAGCGAACGTAAAGGCAACTAAAGCTCACCTTCGCTGAAAGCCGACCGACGCCAAATAAATGAAGTAGAGATAGTGCGGTGTTTGTTGGTATAATAAACCGTCTTCAAGAACTGTGTTTATCCTAGCCGGTGTAAATTATCGTGCAATATCATTGGAGTAGTTTCCTCGGATCTGTTTACCACGCGTGAATAAATGCAGCTTTACAAGCTCTGTCGCATTCCATACATCAAACGTGTAGTGCCTGCCGCCGTTGTTAATTAGCAACGGGGGTATTCAAATATCCCAGGGATTAATATTACAGTCTGGAGAAACTGTAAGTACCCGGTAGCCAAAAAAAATAATAGCTAGCCTTATTTATAACAATTATGCCTGAACAGCAAACAAAAAAGGAAGATGAAAAGAAAGTTATTGACCACAAAGACAAGCTTAACTGCATTAAACTGACTGTAATTCTATAAATTGTGCTATTGAACTGCACGTAATTTGGTTCTGCCAGTCGCCGCAGACTATTGGGGTCGAAATCTACTTGCTATTAAACAAGATTGAAGCAAGAATTTTAATTTTCTAGAACTGTCAGGTATAATAAAAGGAAAACGGCAAATTGTTTTTGAATCTTTAGATTTACAATACGTCCCTAGGTATTACTAAAGAAATAGACCCTTTCTTTTACTGGAATCAGTCAGCGAAAATCGACCCCAAATCTGTCAACACGGCTGGAAAGAACACCTTAAAATCAGTAACGTTGCTAAGTTTTAAGGTCCACAAAGTCGCGGAATTTTACAGACGTTTGTATGCTAAATTTCGCGAATCTGGTCTACCTTCTGGTCTATCGATTTTAGACTTTTGAAAACGAATGTGAGGAGAGGACTTTCACGTATTTGTCCGTCAAGTCTCTGTGACTCTTCAGTTCTAAGTCTCACCAGCGTCGCGGGAAAACTGAAATGTGCGTCTGCTCCGAAACAAACACCGGGCGATGAGGGTACTTATTTAGACCTTCTTTCTCTGAACTAGCTAAAACTAAGTGGAACTGACTTAACGAAAAGAAAGTGATGCTATTGTAACTGAAATTCAAAATTGAATCAGTGAAGTTCAGGAAGTTCAAGGTAAGAAAAACTGGCTTTATTCCCGGGAGTAATATGTTCCTGGCTATCCTTAGCATATCAAACTCAACCTACTTTTGATATCGTCACTAGTTCATAAAGTGCGTTGGAGGAGAGAGAAGAGTGGGAAGCCTGTTAAACCAGTAGTTCGACCGAGGGGGTGGGATCTTCTTTTAAAAAGGGCACTTAATGCACGCGCACAAAATGCATGCATGCATGCACGAGGGATGGACACTGGGCGGCAAAGATTCCCGGCACTGCCGTCCGTGACTCCCATCTACTGCCGTTCGTCAGGAACTCATGACGGGTTGAGCAGTTCCTTACGAGTACCTGGGTTAATAGAAAAGGCAGACGAGACAAGCCCTCATTACGTGTTTCAGATAAGAGACCGTGCCTTCTCGGAGGCAAAACACTCGGCAACACGAAACAAGGGATGCAACTTGAAGGGTCGGAGTGAAGTCCTAAAACAAGACAAGTATTACAAACATAGGGTATACATGATGTGTGTTATTCAAAATTATAAAGAAACAGGATATGTAGAGAGGAGAAGTCGTTACGTCACGTTGCCATGGTAGTAAAATTTCTGGATGACAACAAACCGAAAACGTCACTCAAAAAGCGAATTCGCACTGTTTCAAACTTCATCAATCTTATTCAATTTCGTATAATTTGCTAAATATTGGCGAAATTTTCTGGGATTGAATCCGAAAGGGCCCTATCTAAGTTTTATA